CACGACCAACATAAGCTGACTGAAAGCACTAACAAGCAAGCACATAGATCACTAGGAGACTGTGACAAGGAGACAGAGACTCTCAGAAGTGACATAAGGAGAAAACATCAGGGGGCACCCAGCCCCTTACATAGAGGGGAGACTAATAGATCCATGAGAACAGACACGCAAACCCGAAAACAAAGCTGAAACGCATACACATCGTAGATTGAAAAGGAAACGACTATATCACATGGGTTTAAGAAGGTGGAAGACAGACAGGCTACAATCATGGGCGTCCGCAGGAATTTTTCCAGGGGGGGACATAATTGTAATGACATCAATGCTTGGTACCTTTTTGACAGTGTCATGAAAGGGAAGGGGCATAGCCATTATCACATAAAGCCAGGGTGAATAGCGTTTTCACAACTATGGTGTCAGGAATATATGTTTGTATTCCTGACACTATAGTGTTCCTTTAAGCAAATTAAAGGACCATTCTGGTCACCATAACAACTTCACCTAAATGAAAATGCTATGATGCCAGGAAGCCCCTGGGTGCTCGCTTTCCTTTAAGGGGTTAAATCGCTCTCAAATGGTTTAACCCCAAAGGCTTCCTCCAGCTCCAGGTCGCTCAGTGGTATTTGGCTTCTGAAACAGAGTGTCAGGAAGTGCAGATTGACGTCAGGCATGGGTGCCGCTGATTGGCTAGAGTGGTCAGTTGACGCTCTAAGCCAATCGCTAGTTCCCGGTTCATAAAATATTTTTACTTTTTATGAATGGGGAGCTACTGATTGGCTTAGAGTGCCAGCTGACCGCTCTAGCCAATCAGCAACACCCCTACCCAACGGCACTCTGTGCTTCCTGACACTCAGTAAATAAAAGTGAACACATTAATACTGATATTTTTTTACCTTTGGAGATGAGAAGGTCCAGCGTTTCCCTGTCTGGCCCAGGTACCAAAGCCTTATGATGTGGTGTCCAGAATAAAGTGGAGGGTTCACTTCATTTGTCCTTCCTGCTCCAATCTCCTTTTCCTCTCCTTCATTTGACAGTCTTTTTTTTTCTTCTGACACTGTTTTCTATCCTTGGCCCCTTCTGCTCTTTTACCTTTCTGCTACTTTCTGCTTATTTTGCGCCCTTCTGCTTCTTTCTCATTCTGATCCCTTTCTGCTCCTTGCAGACCCTTTCTGCTCCCTTTTCTACTTTACCTTTGTGCTCCTTGCTGTCCCTTTCTGCTCTTTCTCCTACTTTACCTTTGTGCTCCTTCTGATTCTTTCTGCTCCTTTACCTTTGTGCTCCTTGCTGTCCCTTTCTGCTCCTTTACCTTTGTGCTCCTTGCTCTCCCTTTCTGCTCCTTGCTGCCCCTTTCTGCTCCTTGCTGCTCCTTGCTGTCCCTTCCTGCTCCTTGCTGCCCCTTCCTGCTCATTCACCTACTTTTACCTTTGTGCTCCTTCTGCCCCTTCCAGCTCATTTCTGACCCTTTCTGCTCCTTCTACTTTACCTTTGTGCTGCTTTACCTTCCAGCTCCTTGCTGACCCTTCCTGTTCATTTCTGTTCTTTTGTGCTCCTTCTCCTACTTTACCTTTTGTGCTCCTTGCTGTCCCTTCCAGCTCCTTGCTTCCCCTTTCTGCTCCTTGATGTCCCTTCCTGCTCATTTCTGTTCCTTCTCCTTTTCTTACCTTACCTTCCTGCTCCTTGCTGACTCTTTATGTAGGCTGTCTCCCCCATCCCTCACTTCTACAGGCGTGTGCACGGGGTGTGTCGGGTGTGCCTGGGCACAACCTAATCCCAGCGGCACGCCAATGGATTGAGATCGGCAGGGGAGATCTCTGGATCTCCCCGGTCGGCTCATGCAGAGCCGAAGCTATCCAAGCGGCGGCTCTGGTCTAAGCCTCCATGGGCCGGTGGGGAGATCAAAGTTCTCCCTCACCGGTCCACAGCAGCATGGAGGGAGGCAGCAGAGAACCCGGGCTAGAGTTCACTCTCCACTGAACCACCAGGGAAGGCAGCAGGACTGGGATGTTAACTAGTCTGCCCCAGCCTCCACCCAAACATACAGCACACACAGCCCACAAACAGCACCCACACACACACACATCACCCTCGCACACACAGCACCCACACACATACAACACCCACACACACCCAGCACACTAACAGCATCCTCACAAACACACAAAACCCACACACAACACCCGCACAGCACCCACCCACAAACAGCACACTCTCATACAAACAGCACCCTGACAAACACACAACACCCGCACACAAACAGCACACTAACAGGACCCGAACAAACACGCACACACAAACACCCTCTCTCTCACACACACACACACACACACACAGCACACTACCAGTTCCCTCACAAACAGCACCCTCACACACAGCACACTAACAGCACCCTCACACACACACACAGCAGTGTGTGTATACATATATATATATAACAGATATATATATATATATATATACACACACACATACATATACACATGGCGTGTGTTTGTGCTTTAGGGTGCACACCCTAATGCAATAGGCTGCGCACGCCTATGCTCACTTCCCTAATCTATAGGCTGCCCCCCCATGCCTCACTCCCCTAATCTATAGGCTGCTGCCCCCCCAAAATCTATAGGCTGCTGCCCCCCCAAATCTATAGGCTGCTGCCCCCAAAATCTATGGCTGCTCCCCCTCCCCCTATAGGGCTGCTGCCCCAAATCTATAGGTTGCTGCCACCCCAAAAAAATCTATAGGCTGCTGCCCCAGCCTAATCTATAGGCTATCTCAAACCCTCCCCCGATCCCCCACTTACCTGATCTGTAGGCTGTCTCTGGCTGCATGTGTTGCTCCCCTGCGGTTTCAATCAGCAGAGAGAAGCAGGGATAAGATGCTGCTTCCTATCCCTGTCTCTCTCCATACACACCTCATCACCTACTGGCCGGTGCCGGTATTGCAGTTCATTTTAAATCTCACACGAAAATAGCAGAACAAGCTGAAAAATCCAGGGGGGGGCAAGTGCCCCCACTTCCCCCCCTCTGCGGACGCCCATGGCTACAATCCTGGAAAAGAGCGTTAGTAAGACAAACAAAATGTAGAACCACACTGGAAAGGGGACACACGCTACACAGAACAATAACCCTGATCACCCAAAATAACACGGTCACACCCAGCTGACCCTAACGCCTAACACAGGCTGGGGAACATAGCTAATGTGAAAAAGCTACATGTTGCATGAGACCTGTGAGCCACAAAAACGTAATGGAGCCTGTGTGCCCACACAGTTATGAAAAATCTTGACATATATAAAACATAAGGTGTATATAATAGAGACCTGCGAGTCTCTCTGTCCGATTCTTATGTCTAAGTCTATATATGCTACAACAAATGACAAATAAAATATATTTACAAAAAATAAAAATATAGGGTTACTTCCTTGTTACCCTTATTGTATATAGTGGGTTCTGGTGTAAAAACTTTCAAACCTTTTAACCCATAGGCATAGGGGCCCCACAGGCTTGCCAACATTTCAGTATATTAATTTCGGGAGATTTATTTAGAACCTTCGAACCCTCTTTATTAAATTGTTTAGATGGACTAATCACCTCAGTATCAGCTGTTATCTGTACATGCGGTTTTGCTGTTGTGAATACATATCTTGACCTTGATGAAAACGTACGTGTACTAATTGTACATAAGCAAGACAAAATCAAAACACCACATTTTTTTGAATCCGTAAAGCTAAAATAAAGTTCTTCTAATATTTTTAGCAGTCCATGTCAGTTGCCTTGTCGTGCTACCTATTAAACGTTTGTGTAGATTAATCTCTGCTGTACAGCATGTTTTTTAATGTTTAAACACTGATTTTGTTGGAGGTAAGAATATAAGCTTTATTTTATAGATAATATACATTTTCATTCCTCTGAGTGGTTGTGTAGGCAGGGCATGCACTGCTTTGCCTGGGGGCCTATAATGATGTTAAGACGGTCCTGTCCAGACTGTGACGAAGTGCCCTTCGCCACTTGGTCTTGGAGAGGCCTACTTGCCAGCCTCCTCCCCTGTGACTATGACTCTTTCATGTATCTGGCTTTAAAGCCCCTAGTCTACCTTCAGACAGACTATTTATGTAGGCTGCTTTATTTATCTTATGTTTTAGTCACCCTGTACCCATTATAGGTGCAGGGTGTGTGTAATGTAATTGTTTATAGTGTGTGTGTGTACTGTGAAATGTATTGCCTGCTCTCCTGTACTGCTGAGGTTTGCTACCAACTAGGTGGGTTTGGCTATGGAGCTTGTCTAGTGCCCTCTGTTGGTAGCAACAGCAATATGCACTACCTGAATTGCAAGACTGGTTCATTTGCATATTCGGGTAGATTTGCATATTGCTATTTCTGCAGGCTGGAGAGATATTTACTGTTAAATATTGTCTTCCCCACCCCTTTAAAAATGTGCCATTGTGTTGTGATAAGTCACTGTGTGTTGCCTGCTATGGTTTGACGGTTTTTGATTTTATTGAGGTTTCACAACAATGTTATTGTGGTGACCCTATGGGCTGGTCCCAAGGGAAATAAAGGTTTAGACAGGTCTTCTTGATCCCTCTAAATGTAGACTTGTCTCGTTATTGGAGGGAGCTGTTATAATCACACTGGGGATTGCTATGCTCTGCATGCTTGTCTGAGCTTGAATCACTTAGCTCTTTTAAGAGCTTGTTCCTGACATGCTCTCCTTGGAGGAGAGGTCTTCACCACACAGTCCTGGATGCTGGAGGTTCATACAGGGTGGAAGGAAGAGTTCTTTCCCACACAGTCCAGGAGGACAGAAGCTGATCCAGGGTGGAAGGAAGATGGTGAGACTCCAGTTAAGATACAGTGGTTGTGGAGTCTGCAGTGGTTGTGGTGTCTGCTACACTGCTTGGAGTCCTCAGGAAGTGCTAGGAGCATCCGTCAACGGAGGGTGCTCAGTTGGAGTACAAGGAGCTCCGTTACACAGACCCCTAGAGCACTTGCTGTAAAGCTTTATCTGAGAAGAGTGTGTCCTTTTTTTTTTTTTATGTCAAGATCAGATTTCAATAGAAATTGGCACTTTTATAAAAAGGTGGTTACATCCTCCTTGCTTTCAAGCAGACAACAGGCCCTGTTACTTCCTGGTTTGGTTAGCTCAGTGGAGCTAAACTCAAGAGACAGCAATTGCCCAGATCACCTGCCTTGGAAAGACTTCTCATTGTGCTGCATTGGATTGGAAAGTATGTGATTGGACAACCACAGAAAGTCTGTGCTGGGGAAGAGGGAGGGGGGCTTGCAAAGGCTGCAGACAAGAGAAATGCAGCTTTTGCAAGCTGTTTTCAGATATACCACAACAACAAAAAATGCATAATTAAATGTATTTTTGATATATCTACTAAACAGAAGTGTAGGTAGGAACCACACTCAATCCCTAAGCAGCCACCTCCAGGCACTCCATGCAAGTTTAATGAAACCGAAAGGACAGCAACATTTCGACCTAAGTCTTGTCAAGCTAACACCACAAAACATAAGTGTATATATAGCAAACAGTGTGAACAATTTCAGCAAATAAATCTATTAAAAAATCATGTAAAATATGTTAACAATAACATAATTAATTAACATAATTAGTTTAAACAAACCGTGCAAAGTACAACAGAATCTATACATGTGATAAATATTATAATCTGTGACTTACCCCTGTGTAACAGAGGAGGGAGAAGCAAAAATAAATGAAAATAAAACAAGTTCAGCACTTCGGAACTTCAGGTAAGTGTAGGGTTAGGTTAGTGTAGGGTAGGGCTAGGTTAGGGTTGGTTTAGGAGTAGGGGCAGGGTTAGAGGTAGGGTAGGGTAGGGTTGGTTTAGGGGTAGGGTAAGGTTGTTTTGGGTTAGGGTTAGGGTTGATGTGGCGAAACTAACCTCGCCACTGGGTTATGGAGAAGCCTGATTGCCTGCCTCATGACTACGGCCCCTCTCATCAGCCCATGCTAGACTTAAACCCCATGGCGATTTGACTTTGTTTGTGGGATCTGAGTGCTCAATATAACCAAACAGCACTCATCTGGGGATAGGTTGAATGTGGGGGTTCTGTTCAGTATGATAGGAATTATGTATTTTTTGTATAATTTTGTGTTGTTGTGAATAGAGACATTTTCTGTACCTGGAGATAGTTGGCTTACCACACCCAGTTAAGTAAATTATCTCCAGGATAGAGGACTCTGTGGAACTGGTTTTGGCTGGAAAGCCATGCTTCAGTGGTCACAAAGGACTTTGACCTAACTTTTAAACCAATGGAAGGAATTGTCTGATTTTTGTTTGTATTTGGAGTATGCTGATTCTGAAAATGTAAGTTTTATGTGAATGTGATGTATACTTTTGGAGTTATGAATATTGTGCAAAACTGTGTATTTTCCTGCCTGTGATAATTACGTTAGCCCATTGTGTAAGGTAACTGTATCACAGGCAGAGGGGAGGATTTTGTTTGGGAATGTCTGAGTGTATTGCATGTATTGATTGGTTGTACTTCAAAACCCTGTGGGCGGTAATATGTTTGTAGAATGGGCATAAAAGCAGAGTGTTTGAATAAAAGTTCAGTCCTACTTCACCCTCAATTTGGAGTGTCGTCTCTTATTGGGGGAATCTGCTACAAGGGATTGCTATGTTTGCTAAATCACTACTAAGCTCTTGTAAGAGCTTGTTCCTGCTTCTCTCTGAAGGAAGAGAAGTTCGGTCTGCGGTGGTTGTTATGCTAGAGTGCTTGGGGCCCTCAGGAAGCGCTAGGAGCATCCTTCAACGGAGGTACCCAGTCGGGGTGCAAGGTGATCCGTTACAGTTGGTTTAGGAGTAGGGTTAGGGGTAGGTTTATGGATAGGGTTAAGGGTAGGGTTAGGAATAGGGTTAGAATTACCTTACCCCTAACCCTACTCCAACCCATTTTGGCACTTTGGCAATTTGGTTCGGACTTTCCGAAATTCGGACATTCGGAAGCATCCAAATGTCCGAAATTCATCCCAATTTGTATTTGGAATGAAACGAATTGCACATGTCTAGTAAGTAGTGTCCCTCCAGGTTCTGTTGTGGGACCGCTTCTATTTAACATATTTATAATGATTTTGAAATAGGCATCAAAAGTCATTACTTTGTGATTACACAAAACTCTGTAAAGTAATACAATGTGAACAGGATATTACTTTGCTGCAGATGGATTTAGATAGACTGGGGGGACTGAGCACAAAAATGGCAGATGAAATTTAATGTAGATAAATGCAA